AACCAAACCAAATGAATCTTTGAGTCATTTCTGCAGAAATTTCCTTTAGCATTAAAGCAAATCGTGGTATGGAAATCCTCGTCCATAATTTCTTGTTGGATAGTAAATTTCGTCTTGTGAAGCCATTAACAACTGAGTAAGAATATGTAGTACATGCATGTTTTTCTATCATTCCTCTTTGTCAGCACTCATTGCACTATTTGCAGGAATTAAAACAAAATCAACTCTTCTTAATAGAATTTGATAAATAAATGATTCTTTTTAAAATTAATTTGTGGGATGTGAGCATCAGTGTGTAGGCCAGCATTTATTACCCATCCCTAATTGATGAGAGGGCAAGATCAACCATGTTGCTGTGGATCTGGAATCACATAGAGGCCAGATCAGATAAGGATGTAAAATTTCCTTCCCTAAAGGATATTACTGAAATAAATGTTATGCTTTAGTTATACAGAGCAGTGGTGAGACCACATCTTGAATATTGCGTGCACATTTGGTTTCCTTATTTGAAGAAGAATGTTAAGTATGTTGGGGGCATTTCAAGAGGTTTACTAAATTGATATATGGAATAAGCAGGTTGACTAATGAGGGAGGGGCTTTGTGGGCTTGTTTCCATTGGAGATTAGAGGAGAGACGCATGGTTTGATTGAAGCATATAAGATCCTGACTGGTCTTAACAAGGTGGGTGTGGAAAGGATGTTTTTTGTTGTGGGTTAATTCAGAATTAGGGGACACCATTTAAAAATGAGGGGGTTGCCCTTTTAGTACCGATATGAGAAGAAACCTCCCTCACCCCCATCCCAGGCCCGAAGAAGACTTTCCACATCAAGCAGATGTTCACCTGCACATCTGCCAATGTGGTATACTGCATCCGCTGTACCCGGTGTGGCTTCCTCTACATCGGGGAAACCAAGCGGAGACTTGGGGACCGCTTTGCAGAACACCTACGCTCGGTTCGCAACAAACAACTGCACCTCCCAGTTGCGAACCATTTCAACTCCCCCTCCCATTCCTCAGATGACATGTCCATCCTGGGCCTCCTGCAGTGCCACAACGATGCCACCCGAAGGTTGCAGGAACAGCAACTCATATTCCGCTTGGGAACCCTGCAGCCCAATGGTATCAATGTGGATTTCACAAGTTTCAAAATCTCCCCTCCCCCTACCGCATCCCAAAACCAGTCCAGCTCGTCCCTGCCTCCCTAACCTGTTCTTCCTCCCACCTATCCCCTGCTCCCACCTCAAGCCGCACCTCCATCTCCTACCGACCAACCTCATCCCGCCCCCTTGACCTGTCCGTCCTCCCTGGACTGACCTATCCCCTTCCTAACTCCCTACCTACACTCACCTTTACTGGCTCCATCCCCGCCTCTTCGACCTGTTTGTTTTCTCTCCACCTATCCTCTCCTCTATCCCTCTTCTATCCGCCTCCCACTCTCTCCCTATTTATTTCAAAACCCCCTTCCCCTCCCCCTTTTCTGATGAAGGGTCTCGGCCCGAAATGTCAGCCTCTCTGCTCCTATGATGCTGCTTGGCCTGCTGTGTTCATCCAGCCCTGTACCTTGTTTTCTCTGAAGGTTGTTTGATTTTGGAACCATCTGCCTCAGAAGGTGGTAACAGTGGAGTCATTCAATAATTTTAGGGCAGGGATATTAAGATTATTGTTAGGCAAGGGAGTCAAATGTAATTGGTAGTACATGGGAACTGTGGAGATCATAAGACAAGCAAATCAGTCAATGTCTTATTGAATGGTGAAACGGACTTGAGGAAATGAATGCCCTACTTCTGTTCATTACTTGTATGTTTAAATGTCCCCTCTGTATTGTTTACTGATCTCTCTAAGTATAACAGCTGTTCTTCAAATTCATCCAGACATTCATGTCGGAATTGTAATTGGACAATGTCCAAGTAAACAGAGGTGGGTCATCTCACCTGTTGGTTTCATTGTTTGCCCAGCTGTCTTGTGACCTCAGTTTGCAGCAAGTCTGATCCCATTACTTTCCACCAGCCCAGAACCAAACTGTTTTTAAAGAAGATAGATTTGTCAAGGTGGGAAGCTTCTCCACTCAGCATCCCCTTAATTTACTTAAGGCGTGTGAAGTCACTCATGCTCAGTAGTCACAAGTAATGAAGAAATACACAGTATGTACAATAACATACAATAAAACCCACAGAAGGGAACATTTGTCTTGAAAAAAATTTATTAAATATCTGTAAGTTGTTATATGAATGGTATACTTCGATGATGTAAAGCAAGAATGTTCCAGTACAAATATGGAGCCACATTATTTCCCCATTGAAGTGTAGATACAAAGTATAAAATTGAATATAAACCAAATTGAATGAAGATCTTGAAACTGAGGAAATAATATTGAACAATTTAATTTTGTTCAGTTACAGGTGGCAATTTCAAAACACAACTAAATAATAAAGGACCAACTTCAAGACCAGATTATGGTTCTCATTCAGTCACATTTATATCTCACTCTCTTTATTAAAACATCATGCGGGAAGATTACTGCAAAATAAAATAACAAATTTAAAGAAAATTTCAACAGGACCAAAATAATTTTTGTTTGATTTCCCAAGGGTTTCTAAAAGGAATTGATCATTGCATTGTTTTTCTGAATACATCCCTTGATTCTCCATGCATTATTTTTCTACCACATTAAGTTGGTACTTTGATACGACTAATATAGTTTTTTCCCTATGTTTCTCAAAGTGGTAACTAAATTATTGAATACCAATGAGGATGTCACTGTTCATTTAGGACAGCATGATGGCTCACAAAGCCAGGGATCCGGGTTTAGTTCCAGCATTGGGCAAATGTGTGAAATTTGCACAAAGTCCCTGTGTCTGTGTGGGTTTCCTTTGGGTGCTCCGGTTTCCTCCCACTGTCCAAAGTTGTGCATGTTAGGGGGACTGGCTATGCTAAATTACCCATACTGTCCAGAGATGTGCGGGCTAGGTAGATTAGCCATGGGAAATGTGGAGTTACAGGGATACGGTGGATCTGAGTGGGATGCTTTGCAGAGGGTTGGTGTGGACTCAATGGGCTGAATGGCCTGCTTCCACACTGTATGTATTCTATGGTAGTCCTCCGTCCATGTACTCTATAAGTTATTGACTTATTACATAGTAAAGCAAATCAGCAATAATCTAAAAATTATTTGCCATTCACGCAAGTCATTTATTCATGAATGCATTGATTAGTGATTGTCTCAACAACCTGAATCATTAATCAGTCCTTTTGCTCATTAGCTAGCTGAGACGAACTTCTATCTCATTCCCAGCCAATCAGAAATACTCACATTCATCTCACAATTACAGCATATTTAGCCAAACATCAAAGAGTAGACAGATTGAAATAGTCAATTCTTCTGAGGCAGGTTCAATCAGAATGGGAAAAGAAATAGATAAGAGCTTTTCTACCATATTGGGATGTAGGCTGCATAACCTCATACCAAGGTGCTTTTTATGGCTTGTACTTTTGAGTAAATTGCACATCCTTGAAAATAAGTTAATCAGTTCTACAACATTTAATGTCAAGAATCCATAAGAGGTTATATTGTACTAACAAAAAGATGAAATTGTTGATTAATGAACAAGAAGAAAAATAATACATTTACTTCATGAGCTAAAGGTTCTCTGCAACCAATTTGGAGCAATTTTGAAATTCAGTTTGTCTGGACATATAGGAATAGTTTTAATTTGAGAAATCAGGTTATTAACCCTAATGATTAGATTCTTACAGTTTCAATAGATCTTCGTTCACAATAACGCACAGGTTGTTCAAAGTACAAACCAGCATACTTTACACTAAGTAATACTTTGAAGGTAATGAAAGTATTTTGTAGTAAAATTAATAAAGTACATTATTTTGTTTAAAAGTAGAATATTATAAGTAGAAACTTACAAAATAAATACAAAATATTGTCAACATTTCATTATAAAAGACGTCCGGTTGGATTGTTCATAATAAATACACATCTTATTTGGAAAAATATAGAAGGCTACATATAATGTAGTAAAAACTAAACTTATTTAAAAAGGATATAATGCAGTTCAGAAAGACATTAGTTTGTTCATCTTATTTGTTCATATAAACAATGGCATTTTAAATACAGCATGCTCTTGATAGTGACAGTAAAAAGAACGGAACATTACAAAATCCAAAACAAATGAAAAATGAATAATAGCTTTCAGGGATTGGAACAAAGATACAAAAACTGTAAGTTTGTTGAATATCTCCTACAACATAAAGTTGGTGATTCAATTTTAGATCTCATGCTCTTTTCATCCATTCTGGTAGCTAATATGATCAGGGCACAGCATTTTGAGATATTAATGTGCCAAATACAGAAATTCACCCCTTCTCTCCTCCCAGCTATACCATGTAAACTACTGGAGATAGTTTGAGCAGTAAGACATTTGTTTTGTCAAGGAAGGAGACAGAAACTGCCAGATGTTCATCTCATAATTCCTAATGGCTGATATAGACCAACAATGTCAGATCTCGAAACATATTTCTTTTCTACCTTCTTCAGTGGGACAATTGATGGAAATTATCAACCTTATAGCAATGGCAAATCATTGTCCAGCAGGGTTTTTTTGGGTTAAAAACTCAACACTATTCATTTGGAGGATATTTACACAACCATACTAAATGATACGTCTATTTTTGATATGTCTGGTAAAGCGCTTTGTCGTTCTAACAGTAATCAAACACTCAAACACTGCCTAAACATTTCTTCACTTAGAGGAAGAAAATATTAATTTAATGTGATAAATATGGTTATGTAGCTGAACTGCAGTTGTCATGTTCCACCATCTGTGATAATAGAAAGTCATGACAGAACACAATTGTGACCTTTGGCTAACAACCATAGTGCACAGTATGGAATAGAACAAGCACAGTCAACCTCTATTTAATCTTACCATTAACTTTCTCTCTTTTTTTAAAAAAGCAGACATTCATACATTTAACAGTAGAAATGCCTGTAGTTTAAGACTTCCCTGCCACAATTTCTTTTGGAACATGTAACCCAGGTCCAATAGCATATTAATATTGGAGAAGCCTCACTGACAGACAATAGAGAAAATTCACCAACACGGGAAGTTGTGTGATTGTTAATTCAAACATATTGTAAACGTACTGAGTCCGATACGTTGTCATCTAATATAGATTGATTATTCCATAACCTTCCAATAATCCAAATGCAGAAAGTTTTAATGAAAGGACATCAATCTGAAGTATTTGTCTAACCATTGATGCTGCCAGTATTTCCAGCATTTTCAGTTTTTTATCCCTCACAATAATAGGTCGATGATTAACAGTCACTATTTTAATCATGTCTATCTATACGTTTTATAGTACAGAAAGATCATGACAAGATTTTGATCTCACTTTATAAGCCATTTTTTTATTGTTCTTTGCAACTATTCTATCCAAAAAGCGTCGGGCCTTCCTAGGGAAGCTCTCTCTTCTTTTGTACTGTGCCATTCTTCGTTCATTTACTTCTTTGCTGTCTCTCCTGAGCCGTACCTGTCGCACAATTCCTTCAAAGAGCTCTTGTACATTGTGCTGGACTGCAGCAGAGGTCTCGATGAACTTGCAGTCAAAAACAACGGCACAAGATCTGCCCTCTGCAAATGAAAAAAAATTCAATGTTTAGAAAAGAAGACATACATCTGCCTTCTGCTTAACAAAATAAGTTGTACCTTGTTCTTTGGCTGTTGCCAATCTGTACCTTAACAAGTACTGCCAGAATTCTTTGAAATTTTTTATATAAATTGCAAACTCTTTGATGTTTTGGTTAGAAGTTAGATTTTCCCCCAAATAAAGCAACTGCAACTGGGAATAATTGAGATTTATCCGATCGTGGACTGTGAACTGTGACCACTGCATTGGTTATTGCAACATTAGTGAGTGTTGCATTTACTGATATATCAACTGCTGAAACATGCTTAAGCAGTGTATTAATAAGTAATTCCTGCATTTCTGTTCTGTTTTATCAGATCAGAATATCTCAAATTGTCACGCACAACAAATCACTGCTGAAGTACAATAATAGTTATGCAAACAAAGCAGCCAATCTGAAGAGCGAAATGATGAATCAATTCAATTTCTGAGTGTATTTGTTGGGGAAAGTAGAAGTCGTTGGTTTTTTTTTGAAAACTGACATGAGAAATGCAGATCCATCATGCTATAAAGCCCCCACTTTAATTGGTTTCATCCGTTGTCTAAATATTGGCCAATCTTGATCATTCCTGTAAATTTTGAGGTATTGACTCCTGACCAGGACCCATAGCACCAAATGTTCTTAGTTATTTCCCCAAGTAGTTCATCAGCCCTGAGAGCAAGCGTCAGGAGGCCATATAACTGAAGTGGACTCCCATCCAACTCCTTATTGTGATCTTAATTGAAATTACTTTAGAGTTCAGACTCTCTAGGCAACAAAAACAGTAACAATAATAACAATTTAAATGCTGGTTATGAATGTTTACAATAACAGTACTCCTCCATGTAAACTAACAAAAACAGATTTTGAAAATTGGAAGCTCAGAGTAGGTTCTGAAATACACTCATCCTGATTCAACCAAACTCTACAGGGTCAGGGGAAATCCAACAATATATGTGTTTTTGGTGGTTTAAGACCCAGCTTGGAGTACTCTTCTCTCTAAAATGGTTGGTAAGATTAGCTAAAGGATATTGGAGGAGGGGGGTTGGAGAGAATGAGTAAGGGGTCTTGCAAAGAGGACTGTTCTTATATGTAAAAGAGGAACTGAATGGCTATTTAAAATCCTTTCAAATTTTTCTTGTTTATTTATTCATGGGATGTGAATGCTGATGGGAAGATTAGCATTTATTGTCTATTCCGAAGTGCCACTGGGAAGATGGTGAGCTACATTCTTGACAACTGCAGTCCATGTGATGTCACTCAGAGATAGCAAGAACTGCAGATGCTGGAGTCAGAGTCAATGTGGAGTTGGAGGAACACAGCAGGTCAGGCAGCATCAGAGGAGCAGGAAGTAGATGTTTCAGGTCAGGACCATTCATCAGAACTGGGGAGAGGAAGGGAGCTGGGAAATAAATAGAGGGAGGACGGGTGGGGCTGGTGGAAGGTAGGTGGGATGGTGAAAGGTGGATGCAGGTAGTGGGGAGTGGAGATTGGTCGGCAGGAAGGGTCGGGCAAATAGATGGAGAAGAAGATGGACAGGTTGTGTCAGGTCAAGGTAGTGAGAGGGAGGAGGCCTCCATCCAAGGCCCAAAACAAACTTTCCATATCCAACAGAGATTCACCTGTACATCCTCCGACCTGGTCTACTGTATCAGTTGCTCCTGACGTGGCCTCCTCTGCATTGGCGAGACCAAGCACAGACTCAGGGACCAATTTGTGCAGCATCTGCGCTCTGTACATAATAATCAACACTACCTTCCAGTCACAAACTGTTTTAACTCCCTCTCCCAATCCCTGGGTGACATGTGCATCCTGGGCCTCCTCCAGTGTCACAACGATGCCACACGCAAACTGAAGGAGCAGCACCTCATATTCTGCCTTGTAAGCCTTCAGCTTGAACATAGAATTCACCTGTTTCAAAATCTCCCCACCCCCAGCCTCATCCCATGTCCAACCCTCCTGCTCATCCCCACCTCCTTAACCTGACACAATCTGTCCATCTTCTTCCCTACCCTTCCCACTGACGAATTCCTACGACTCCTTACCTGCATCCACCTATCACCATCCCTCCTACCTTCCCCCACTCCCACCCCTCCTCCCTCTATTTATTTCCTAGCTCCCTTGACCCTCCTCAGTTCTGATTAAGGGTTCCGACCCAAAATGTCGACTTTCTTACTCTGCTGACGCTGACTTGCTGTGCTCCTCCAACTCCACACTGTGATGAGTTCATATGATATACCTAGACTGCTGCTAGTGAGGGAGATTTTGGATTTTGAACCAATGACACTAAAGGAATGGTGATCTTGTTCTAATTCAGGATGGTGTGTGCCTCAAAGGGGATGGTAGGAGGTAGTGCTGTCCTTGTCTTCAATGTATTAGATGAGGTTATCTTTTCTGTCATGTTGCTACACGTTCCCTGTTCACTGGTCCACATAGGCGCTATCTCAAGAGTCGGACATCTTCAATCCTGGTACTGGAGGGAAATTTAGAAAATTTTACATTGTTTGGGGTTTGTCCCTGCAATCCAGGTGACAGAATTCACTTGGCTATATCCTAATGTTTATATTAGGATCTTACAGCAGCCAACATCAGTTCTGTAGTGATTGAGACACATCTCACGGTCTCTTGATCAAACGGCTTGATCTAGATTATTAGACAATTCCTGTGTCTTCATCTGCAGCCATGTTCACAAATCAGCAAGGTTAGAGCAATGGAACTTACAGTCTAGGGACTACAGACTAAATAAGAAGCTACTATACTTTAGTTGAGCTTCTCTGGAAGAAACAATGATGAAGGTAACTAGCCTGCTTTTTCCTACCTACTTTGGTGTGACTTGCCTTCTCAGGGTCTGTTGAACAATGCCAGCAAGCATGTGCAGATGATCTACTTCAGCTTTCAGGCTGCGAGTTAACAGTTCTGCAAGCTGCGATACATAAGGGATCCAAACTTGTTATGGAGAGAGCATTCTCAGATTGGACAAGCATATTTCAGCTGCTACGTAATACAGAGCATGGGCAGCTGTTCGCAATGCTCTTGAGTCAGTTCTCCATTTAATGTTGGCGAGCTTCCATAAAAATTTGATTTTGGTTGTCACCACTTTGATGGCATGATCTTTGAAACTTGGAATGCAACGTAACATTACTCCAAGGTATATAGGCTTAATTTTGTGAGGGGGCATTCTCTCATACAGGCGCATATTAAGTTCATGCTTTGCATCCATATTCCCAAGATTAAAAGAACTGATCTGTGACTTTTCAGGTTTGGCCTGCAGACGAATAATTGCATTGCAGTTGGTTAGGTCAGATAGAGCATCACCAAGGGATTTCTGTACTATAATTAACAATTGATACTGAGATGTTATTCACAGATCATTACCATAAAGAAAATCTTACGTGGACGAATGGGTCAGTCACTGGTACAAACAGCAAACAATAAGGTTGTGAGAGCACTATCTTAGATAAGCCACTTTTCCATACGTGCCAGTTGCTTTCCTTGTAATTTTGGTCAACAAGAAATATTTGTTGGCTAGTATGTTGCTTAACAGTGCAGTCAATCTGGTTTATTCGATGATATGGAATGACCTTGTGCAAAGATCTGATTATTGACTGTTTTATATGAGCAGATGAATCCACAAAAGTGGAGTCTGTAATTAGTTTCATCACGCAACCTTCCTCAATAAGTCAGATGGGATTTAAAAGTTACCTTGTACAAGATTCCCCTGGTCTGAAACCCAGTTGTTCAGAGGATGAGAAATTCAGCTAAAAAGGGGAGCATGGAATTTAAGATGAATCTTTTGAACAGTCTGTAGCCGTGGCAGAGATTTATCTTGAAGCTCTTAGAGCTGACTGAGTCTTTGCTTGGCATTAGAATTACCACTATTCTTGTATGTCTTCACAATTTTCAAATTTTGTTTCCTACTAAGCAATAGGAGGAAGCAATGGCCTAGTAGTATTATCGCTGGGCTGTTAATCCAGAGACCTGGATAACATTCTGGCAACCTGGGTTCGAATCCTGCCACAGCAGATGGTGGAATTTGAATTCAATAAAAATATCTGGAATTAAGAATCTAATAATGGCCATAAATCCATTGCCGATTATTGGGAAAAACCCATCTTGTTCCAGCGTCCTTTAGGGAAGAAAACTGCCATCCTTACCTGGTCTGGCCTACATGTGACTCCAGACCCACAGCAATGTAGTTGACTCTGAACTGCCCTCTGGGCAATTAGGGATGGGCAATAAATGTTGCCTAGCCAGCGACGCCCTTGTCCCATTAATAAATAAAGAAAAAAAATACCATGTCACCATAGCACGGCGAGAGGTTTAACATGCTTGACTTGTTCACATGACTGACATTTTAAAATGTCATTTTTATGCTGAACTTGGAATGGGTTTTGTACATTTGAAATTTTCTGCAGATCTTGGGTATTTTTACCTTGATGGGATAACGATTTGGGTTATCTTTGCTGTTTGAAACCTTGGAAGGTAGCGTTGAGGAAGCCTTGACAAGTTGCTGCACTTTATCATGTAGATGGTACACATTGCAGCCACTGTGCACCAATAGTGGAGGAAGGTGGTGCATAGAACCCAGTTAAGCAAACTGCTTTGTCTATACGGTTTTGAGTTTTGTTGAATGTTCTTCGATCTACAATTGTCTGGGCAAGTACCTTGTAAATGCTGGATAAGCATTGAAGAATCAGCAGGTGAATTTCTCCTCACCGAATTTCCAGCTTGTGACTGTATTTGTACTTATATGGTTGATTAAGTTAGATTTCTGGTCAATGGTGAACCCCAGCATTCTTTAAATGAGGATTCAGCATTGGTAAATGCCAAGGGGAGATGGTTGGATTCTTTCTTGAGTGTTACCTGTCACTGGCCACGAGAAACTTCACAAGTCTAAAAGGTCTTGTAGTCACTCAACCAGCCAGGTTTGTTTTTGGTGAAGGGGTGGGGGTGAGAGGGGGGTTGGGGCGGTGGTGGTGTGGTGAAAGGGCAGCATATAAACCAAAATAAAGCAGGTGTCCAGCCCATCACCTTCCATCTACACCTGAACTCAACCAGTGTGTGGGTGAGTGGGTGCCAAACTCAGCAGCCCACATCATCACATAGAAGTAAAGGTCTACTGTGTTTGTTAAAACCTCAACTGGCCCAGTATTACCCTACCTAATACAACTGGCATGGACAAGCAGACAGGAGTGGGCAACCTGTTTTTCTGAGTTTATAAAAGCTTAGGAGAGGTGGTACTATTTTTGAAGTGTGCCCTTTGCATAGCAGAGGAATCCCCAAAAGATAGTACCCACGCATCCTTTCTCCATGCATTATCTTTCAAATCTGCCCTTCACCCTCTCGAATCCCACCTTGAGTTCAACAAAACCAATCTGCCCAAGGCTCCCTGTCTATCTAGGTCCAAGGATTCATGCGGCTTTCATGCTGGGACAGATTGCAGCCCCCAACAGTTCATATTATGGTACTGCCAGGATTGCTGAAGATGTTGGCTCTCAGATTGACTGACATCTTCAGAGATTGCAACTTTCCCCCACCCTATGCACCAACCCAGACACCCACAGCATGTTAGGGCTGTGAAACAGACTTATTTGGAGTCTGCCTGCTCACTGTTATATTTCCTTTCAGAGTGATGAGCCATCTGCATTGGTATACATTGACTGTTTCAGTTTCTGAGAAGTTTTAATAGTACTGAACGTTCTGCAATCATCTGCAAATATCTGACATCATGTGGGAGGGAAGGTCATTGACAAAGCGTAAACGTGGTTGATCAGAGGATACTACTTGGAGTAGTAAAGCTATGTCCTGGAGCTGAGATGACTGACCTCCTACAGACACAACCATTGTATTTTGTCACTTCCAACCAATTAAGAGATTCCACCGAACACCTCCCACCCCTGATTTCTACTGATTCTAATTTTGCTGGAGATGCTTGATGTCACATTTGGATCAAATGCTGCCATGGTGTTACAGAAAGTCTCGCTGACTTCCCTTCTCACCTCTGGAATTTAGCTCGCTTCCAAATGTTGTAAATTAGGTGTGGCGAACAGTGGCACTGGAGGAATCTAAACTGAGTATTGATGAGGAGGTTGGCATTTGACTGGACTGTTTGATAACCCTAACAACACCACCCTCCATCACTTTGCTGTTTTTGAGAATAGATTACAGAGTGATAACTGGCTGGATTACATTCACCCTGCTTCTCATGGGCATGTCACACCAGGGTATATTTTTTTGGATTTCAAGGTTAATTATTACCAGCACTATGGGTGTACTGGCACAATCTGGCTACTGGAGCAGCTACTTCTGAAGCACAAATCTTCAGTATAATAACTTGGATACTGTCAGGCTGTTGGGGACTCCTCAGCCATTTTCTAACATCAGTGTCTGGGCATGAACTGAAGCGTTGGGCATGTAACAGTGCAGTCCTGGAACAGGATATATTGCTTTAGTTTTCCTCTTTTTTTTGAGATTGAAGTTATTGCATGCATTGGAGAACAAATCCATATTACATTGCATGTTTAATTCCGGATGAGCAACCGATCACAGTTCCTGGCAAACAGGAAATTGCAACGTATGTTCTTGCAGATCTTAATCTTTGCCTAGTCTTCTCAGATTGAGCATCTTCTCATCCATGTGACATATGATTTCACTGTTATGGAAGGCACTGGACATCATGGCCAAAAGATCCATACTGTAGAGGGTTGGTGCCAGCATGCAGCTCTGTTTAACTCCATTAGTGACTACGAATGGGTCAGAAGACACCATTACCCAAGACAAGCACAGGCAAGTTGTCTCTTAAATAGGACTCTTAAATCATTCAGGTGAAGTTCTCAGAGCAAATAAATTTATCCATTACTTTCCAAAGGTCCTCACTGCTGACTGCATCAAAGGCTTTGGTCAAGTCAACAAAATGGTGTAGAGGTCCAACAGAGGTACTGCCACACACAATGACGTGAGACTGGACTTTGTCTCGAAAAGGACTGCGCAGCAGAATCTTTTACCAATAGTGCCATGCACACATGCATTTGCAATAGGTAGGTTGATGAGAATGAAGTAGTTTTTTGTCCCCCCCCCATTTTTGGTTCCTTCACCTCCTGACGCAGGTCCAGTCTGTCAGATATGTCGTTCAGAATTTGATCAACTTGACCAGTGGTACTACCAAGCCATCTTGGTAATGGACACTGAAATTCTGCACCCCGAGTACATTTTGTGTCATTGCCACTATCAACATGTCTTCTAAGTGGTGTTTACATTGGTAGTGTTTAACAGCCTGATATCCATATGTTGATCAGGCAGCAAAAGACTTTCGACCTTTACAACGGTTTTACTGTAAATCTATACTTTAGCACAAACACCAGTGCCTATCTTTGCCTTCTGGGTCTCTTCTCTGTCCAGAAGCCAAAATCCACACTGATAAAGAATAAGGTTCCTTTTCAAAAATGTACCCAAATATCAATGTACAAACTGATCTAACTAAGTAGACAGCTCCTTTTCTTTTTGTTTATTATTTAGAAGTGTTGTCACACACAATCAAATGGCTTTTTCCCACCACCAAAGCACCAACAGTACTTTTTTCCATCTATTAAGCACCACCTGCAAATCAGTCTTGTTTCTAACTGAATAATTTATGTGCAAAGCCCTTATTGACCACCAAAAAAGTGAGGGGGGGAGGTAGGGAGAGAGGGCAGGGGCTAATTCAAAATGGAAGTGGAGGGGAAAATAAAGCACTGTATTCCTCAAGGCATTGAGAGCATTGATGGACACTGCATGCTCCATCTCTAAGGACAGCCAGGCACAAATGTAACTGTGGAAGAGGAGTAAAGAAGACAGATCATTTTTTTCCTGTCCAGAAGTGCTATTATGCACAACTGAATGACCATCCCACCACCAATATCACCATGTCTTTTATTGCTTTTTTTCTACACTAGTAATTACCACCTGTGTAACCAACTGAATATTTACAAACAAAGCCCATTATGGGTAATGCAATCCATGAAAGGTGAGGGACATCAGGAAGGGACTAAATCAAAATGGAGTTGGAGGGGGAAATAAAGCACTGTATTCCCCCATGGTGCCCACCTTTCTGTAAAGGCAGTGAGAGCATTGATGGACACTGCATGCTCCCTCTCCAAGGACACCTAGGCACAAATGTAACTGCAGAAGAGGGGCAGGCAGTCGGCAAACGTGAACCCCTCCACAGCCCACTGCCTGGATCCATTTATCGCCAACCTGGCCGGACCCAGGAGCAGGCTCATGACAAGGTCCTCCCATCTACCCACACTCCTCCACACTGGATGTCCAAAGATCAGGAGCGTGGGGCTGAAGTGCAGCGAAAAACACAACAAAAGATTTCCCAAATAATTAAAATGTGAGTGCAAATGCCCACGACCAATGTATACCTGGTCCACGGACTCTATATTGCCACAAAATGAACCGTTGGACTGGGAGTCCATGAACTGCTGCAATGTGCAGTTGGAAGGGACTGCTACGCGTAACACCCTCCATCTCGGGTCTCCGAAGGAAAAAGGGAGGCTTCAGATGTACAGAGCCCTCCATTTGGGATCCCTGCTGCCTGGCAACAAATAAGCTAAGAAGACAGGTCTTAAATGAACATCCAATGACTATTACCTGCCTTCAATCATTACTGGAGCTATTCTGATTAACTGCTCCCTGCCTTCTCTTCCTACCTCTCCCTGACATTTGGCGTTATTGCATCGCCCTTAAATTAATACATTAGGCTGTTACTTGACAAATCTGTGGAACGCACAAGTCCGCTGATGCTAGTGAGGAAAATTCGGCAAGGTCAACTAGGCTACGTGTCTTTGTTGTGTCTTACGTCTAAGTCAATGTTGGATGGCTTTACTCTCATTCAACTTTTCTGCAGCAGTTTGACGCAATTTGTTTGCGAGGTCATTTCAGAACCAAAGTGCTGGGGATCTGGAGTGTCATTTGACCAGATAGAGTCTGGGTGGCAGACTTCTTTTGCTGAAGGACTGAAGTGAACCAAAGGGATTTTTAAGACAATCTGGTAGTTTAATTTACTGATACCAGCTTTACGTTTCAGAATATTAAACTAAAAAAATTGAAATTTCCCCAGCTGCCGTAGTGGGATTTGAAGCATTGGTCCAGATCTCCGGATTACTGATCCAGAATTATCACTATATGGCAATGAGGTTCCAAGCCTGAACCTGAGTACTGTATAAACCTCCATATTTGTCGCTGACACCAGAAGAACTAGGAGGAATATGCTGCACCTAAAAAAAAATTGAGAATCAGCTTATTCACATCCCATTCTAGAGTACTGAGTAAAGAGAAGACATACCTGCCACAGAAACTTCTCGACATCGCACAAGATCACATTTATTCCCGACTAATATAATTGGAATATCCTCAGCCTGTCGTGTTCTCCGGAGTTGGATGCGAAGCTCAGAAGCTTTCTCAAAGCTTGCTCTGTCAGTGATGGAGTAGACAATGAGATATGCATCGCCTATCAGCATACAGTGATCCTGTTTCCAGTTATCTTCATCCTACCAGCAGACAAAAGTAAAGACTAAAACATCAGCTTCTCTTTTAATTTTACAAATAGAAACTCTAACCCTAACCCTATTTCTAGAAAAATTATTGGATGCAACAACTGAAAGAATACGTTTTACAGTTTACAGGCTGCTGTGAATTACAATGCAAGAGTAACCAGCTGTTAAGGAAACAACTGAACAGAAACTGCAGCTGGTACTATTTACTCAGAACAACTAATTTATCGTTAGGTCTAGAAATTGTTGGCAAAATCCTCATGAAGCAAAATGTACTGCATATTTAACGCTTTCACACCTGTCCTTAGCATGTGGCTTTTCTGGATTATTTTCTGTACACAGATTCCTCACAGTCATTAACATCAAATTACTGCATCCTTTTTAGGTGTTTGGTTTGAATAATTCATGATCAAATTGCGCTTTTCTTTTAAGTAATAATTTATCCATGAAAACACAATTAAAATCTGTTTGCATAATGTGTGTGTCATCAGCATCAACAGTCATCAGCAGTTGATGGAGGGTGGGCAGCATTATATGAAATTTCTTGTACGCAAAACAAAACTTGGTACAGTTTTGGAAGAAATTTGCCACAATCTTAACAATGGCTCCTTTTCTGGAAAAGTTTAAGGCCACCTCTGTCATATTTGTGTTTATATAGTTTTCTTGTTGCAGCAACTCAAAATATCCTACATAGCAATTTTTTCCTCCAGATGTGGTGGCTGTTATGTTAGCAGGGTTAACGTTTGTTGTTAGGTTACTTTACCAGGGACATAAAACATGCAGTGTAGCACTAAGGTTAGCTTTCCAGGCTTAGCATGTGTCACTATAGGAGAAATCCACCACTGAATACTACATGTCCAACACATACACTTGCATTCTAAGCATCAAAAAAAATTGCTGTACTACCTTATTTTCCCACGTGTCCATCACAATAAGGGTAGCTCCCTCCCCATCTACGGTGATTGTTCGCTCATAAGTGTCTTCTACAAAGAGGGAGGAAAATGATATTTATAATGAACATATTATGGAAATTCAGCATTTTAATAAAAAAAAGGATCAATGTTAATTAACTAATATAGATAGCTGCTGAGGTACACTTTACGGCACTGACAAACTACTATAAATGTCCTTGACAGATTTGGTCTTTAGCTCATTCCCAAATTTTGTCGCTACTTTGTTACTTGCTGCGCTTTCAGCCGTCTATTAATGGCTTTCTCTCAATAAGCCCCTTCTCTTCCTGTTGTGCTGCAAGTCAGTATTTGAAATCTACCTCACAGACTGAGCTTTGGCCACCTGCGTTAATGTTTCCTTATGTGGTCAGGCAACACATTTTTGGGAAGCCTTGCTATGCAACACCTTGGGATTGTTTTATGATGCTATGCATGTATTTAAGTCATTGTGAGGTTTCAGTGGTTACCTATAGTGCACTAGAAAAAAAACGAGTCATACTTAAAGGCACATTGCCAACAATGTACAGCTATATAGAGGGTTCCATCATGTTATTTAGAGTCACAAGTGTTTCAAAGCACTGCAAGAGGACCCTTTGGTCCATCGTGTCTATGCCAGTCATCAAGCATCTACCTACTCTAGTCCCATTTTCCAGCATTTGGCCCATAGCCCTGCATGCTATGGTGTTTCAAGTGTTCATCTAATACTTCGTAAATGTCGTGATGGCTCCCATCTCTACCAGCCTATCAGGCAGTGAATTCCAGATACCCACCAATCTCTGAGTGAAGAATGTCTTTCTTACACGCCCTCTGAACTTCCCGCTCCTTACATTAAGTCTATGCCCCTTGGGAATTGATCCTGCCACTAATGGGAAAGGTTTCTCTCTATCTATTTATGTTTCTCATTACTTTGTACACCTCAATCAGGTTCCCCCTCAGCCTTCTGGGGACAACAGCTCCAGCCTATCCAGCCTCTCTTCATAGCTGATTTTCTCCAGACCAGGCAACATCCTGGTGAAAACAAAAAGAACTGTGGATGCTGTAAATCAGAAACAAAAACAGAAACTGCTAGATGAGCTCAGCAGGTCTGGCAGCATCTGTGGAGAGAAATCAGATCTGAGGACGGGTCACTCAACCTGAAACGTTAACTCCGATTTCTCTCCACAGATGCTGCCAGACCTGCTGAGCTTTACCAGCAATTTCTGTTTCTGTAACATCCTGGCGAATATCTTCTACACCCTCTCTGGCACAATTACATCCATCCTATAGCTAAACTATAATGTTCTAAAAAGCCATTTTGAAAAAAATTACATTTAAAACACTGTCAAACACTGGATACTGATGGTATAATTAAATAACTTTTTAGGAGAGGCTTTGAAAAATACATTTGGACAGCTCTATTTCTGACATGCGGCTTCAGCAAGAAATATACAAGACAGAGGTACACTGGGAAAGCCGTACGATAAAACTCCCAGTGGTATAACAGATTGGACACAGCAAAGAATATGGAACCTGACAACATCCAAACCATCAAATTAAAGCCCTATCAGCAATATGATGGAAGGGGATATCAACAGTATTATCTAGCAATACTCACGCAGCAATAACTGATGCTCAGTTTGAATCCAAATGAGCACTCAGTTCCACATCTCATTCCTGCCTGATCTGACCTTTTCAGGAAGGCAGCATTTGATGAAGTATTGCATTTAGAAGATTAAGAGGTGATCTGATCAAAATCTTCAAGATATTATCAGGGAAAGACAGTGGATAAAGATAAACTCTTTCCACTGGTTGGAATTTCCAGAATTAAGGGGCATAGTCTAAAAATTAGGGCCAGACTGCTCAAGAGAGACGTTAGGGCACAAGGGGCAACAGAGATTTGGAACTCTCTGCCATAAATGGCAGATGATGTTAGATCAGTTGTTAAGTTTGAATCTGAGATAGGTTTTTTTTGTTAAGCAAAGGTATTAAGAGATTTTGGTCAAGAATGGTATATGGATTTAGGCCACAGATCAGCCAAGATCTCATTGACTGGTGGAACAGGTTCAAGAAGTTGAATGGTCTACTCCTGTTCCTATACTTAAAATCAATAAAAATCAGGGGCAAACTCTCCACTGGAGTCATACTATCAAAAGAAGATGGTTGTGATTGATGAAGGTCATTCATCTGACTCTTAGGGCATCACTACAAGAGTTCCTCAGGATAGTGTCTTCTGCTGCTTCATCAATTATCTTATTTCCAAAGTAAAGGCAAAAATGGGAGATGTCTGTTAACGGTTGCAATACACTCAGGAACATTCATGACTTGCAAGTTACTGAAGCAGTCTGTGTCCACA